CCCCGCCGCCCTCCCCCGAAGCCCAGACCTTCCTGCTGGTGCAGACTCCCCAGGGCCTGCAGCTCATCCCCAGCCCTCCGGCACCACCGCGGAAGCTCCTCCTGCTGCCCAGCCCCCCGGCCGAGCCCTCGGCTTTCACCCTCCTGCCTGCTGAGGGTCCCCCGCCCCGGGCGGGGAAGGGTCCCCAGTCGTCGGGACTCTCCGCTGCAGGGCAGAGCATCCTGTTGGTACCCGGCACGGGGCAGGCGCTGCCCCGTGTCCAGCTCCAGGGGGTGGCGGGGACCCCGGCAGGAGCCAGTGTCATCGTTCTGAGGGGGGGTGTCATTCCCCCACAGGGGCCACAGCCCCCCGAGGTCACTGGTGTCCAGCTGCAGGCAGCCGAGGTGACCAATGTCCAGCTGCAGGCCCTGCCACAACCCTTGGAGGTCACCAATATCCAGCTCCAAGCTGCAGAGGTGACTAATGTCCAGCTCCAAGCCACAGAGGTGACAAGAGTCCAGCTCCAAGCCCTGCCGCAACCCTTGGATGTCACCAACATCCACCTCCAAGCTGCCGAGATGACAAATGTTCAGCTCCAAGCCTTGCCGCAACCCTCCAAGATGACCAACGTCCAGCTCCAAGCCCTGCCACAGCCCTTGGATGTCACCAACATCCATCTCCAAGCCGCCGAGGTGACAAATGTCCAGCTGCAGGCCCTGCCGCAGCCCTTGGATGTCACCAACATCCAGCTCCAAACCAGTGAGGTGACCAATGTCCAGCTCCAAGCCCTACCACAGCCCTCCAAGGTGGCCAAAATCCAGCTCCATGCTCTGCCACAACCCTCAGATGTCACCAACATCCAACTGCAGGCCGCAGAGGTGACCAATGTCCAGCTCCAAACCCTGCCGCAACCCTTGGATGTCACCAACCTCCAGCTCCGAGCCCTGCCACAACCCTCTGAGCTCACCAACATCCAGCTGCAGGCCACTGAGATGACAAATGTCCAGCTCCAAGCCCTGCCACAACCTTTGGATGTCACCAACATCCAGCTGCAGGCCACTGAGGTGACAAATGTCCAGCTCCAAGCCCTGCCACAGCCCTCTGAGATCACCAACATCCAGCTCCAAGCCCTGCCGCAGCCCTCAGAGGTGACCGGTGTCCATCTCCAGGCCACGGAGGTGCCCAGCGTCCATCTTCAGGATACGGAGGTGACAGATGTCCATCTCCAGGACACGGAGGTGCCCAGTGTCGAGCTGCAGACCACAGAGGTGACAAATGTCCATCTCCAAACCACCAAGGTACCTGACATCCATCTCCGAGCCACAGAGGTGTCCAGTGTCCATCTCCAAACCACAGAGGTCCCCAGTGTCCATCTTGAGGCCACAGAGGTGCCCGACATCCAGCTTCAGGCCATGGAGGTGGCCAACATCCAGCTGCAGACCGCAGAGGTGCCCAGTGTCCATCTTGAAACCACAGAGGTGCCCGATGTGCATCTTGAAACCACTGAGGTACCCGACATCCATCTCGAAGCCACAGAAGTGCCTGGCGTCCATCTCCAGACCACAAAGGTGACCAGTGTCCACTTGCAGGCCACTGAGGTGACCGACGTCCATCACCAAACCATGGAGGTGCCCAGTGTCCATCTCCAGGCTGCAGACATGCCCAACATCCATCTCCAGGATGCAGAGGTGACCACTGTCCAGCTGCAAGCCACTGAGATGCCCAGTGTCCATCCCCAAACCACGGAGGTGACAAATGTCCATCTCCAGGCCGCAGAGGTGCCCAGTGTCCATCTCCAGACCACTGAGGTGCCCAGTGTGTGTCATCAAACCACTGAGGTGCCCGGTGTCCATCTCCAAGTCACAGAGGTGCCCAGCGTCCATCTCCAGACCACAGAGATGGCCAGTGTCCATCTTCAAGACACCAAGGTGTCCAGTGTCCATCACCATATGATGGAGCTGCCCAATATCCATCTCAAGATCACGGACATGCCCAATATCCAACTGAAGACAATGGAGGTGACAAATGTCCATCTCCAGGCTACTGAGGTGCCCAACACCTGTCACCAAATGATGGAGGTGCCCAGTGTCCAACTCAAGACCATGGAGGTGCCTAACATGCATCTTAAGACCACAGAGGTGCCTAACGTCCAACTGAAGACCACAGAGGAGGTGCCCAACATCCAACTCAAGACGGTAGAAGTGCCCAACATCCAACTCAAGACCGTGGAGGTACCCAACGTGCAACTGAAGACCATGGAGGTATCCAACATCCAGCTGAAGGCCGTGGAGGTGCCCAACATCCAACTCAAGGCCATGGAGGTGCCCAACGTTCAACTCAAGACTGTAGAGGTGCCCAGTGTCCAACTCAAGCCCATGGAGGTGACAAATGTCCACCTCCAGGCCGCAGAGGTGCCCACCATCCAGCCACAGGCCCCTGAGGTGCTCGTGGCAGGGAGGGGCCCATCCCCCTCTCCATCCCCACAGTTGGCGGTAGTGGGGGCAGCTGGGGGGCTGCCCCCCGTGCTGCTGCTGCGGGGG